CTTTCTTATATTTTATTTCTCCCACTTACTAAACAAATCTTTTTCTTTTTTCACTTCCAGGGCACTTGTGTTTTTTAAACTTTCTTCTTTTAAGGATGAATTACCTATCTTTTTTTCCTTAGTTTTCACCTTGTTCTTGCATTATATATCTTCTCCCACTGTGTTTTCTTTAATAGATTATATTTTTAGAGTAGTTTTAGGGCCTTATCAAAATTAAGAAAGTATAGGCTGTGCTATACCTCCTGCCTGTGCATGTGCCACCTCCCATACCAGCAACACCCTGCACCAGACTGGTACATTTATTATAATCAATGGACCTACTTTGACATGTCACTATCATATAAAAACCCATTCTTTAGGCCAGGTTTAGTGGTGTATGTCTGTAATCTCAGCACTAAGGAGGCAGAGGCAGGTGTGAGTTTCAGGCCAGACTAGTTGACACAGTAACTGCCAGGCCAGTCAGGGTTGCATAGTGAGTACCAATATCAAAAACAAAGAAAACAAAACAGAACGGAATAAAAACCAAAAAGAAGAAAAAAAAGTTAAAAAATCATAGTTTGTACCAGGGCTTATTTTGGTATGAATATCCTATAGGTTTTAATGAATGTATACCCACCATTATGACATTATACAGCAGCTTTCCACTGCCCTAAATATCCTGTGTTCTCCCTGTTCAGCATCCTTCCATCCTCACCTCTGGTAACCACTAACCTTTTAATCCTTCCACTGTTTTGCTTTTCCCAGAAATGTCAGACAGCTGCAAACAAACCAAATACAACCATTTCTGGTTTGTTTCCTCTTTTGTTTAGCTGCATATACCTAGAGAGTTTAACATGATGTTCTGATGTGCATATTGGAACTATTATGAATGTCAAGGAAAAGAACATACCCATGCAGCCCTACCTCCCTCTCTTCCTTCCTTGCTGCCTTCCTTTCTTTCTTGGTTAAGAGCACCTGAAATCTATTCTCTTGGAGAATTTCTAATACATATGTTATTCACTACAGTCAATATGCTAAACATTAAATCTCTAGAATATTCATCCTGTATAACTTTGTATCCCTCAATTAAGAACTTCTCTATCCTTCCCTCCATTCCCCAGTGTCCCCGGTAAACACTATTTTATGCTCTGTTTCTAAATATTAAACCATTTTAGAGTCCATATATAAGTGAGAAAATTAGGTTTTCTTTGTCTGGCATATTTTACTTTAGCATAATGTCCACCAGGTTCACCCATGTTATCATCAGTGGCAAGCAAGATCTCCTTTTTAAAGGCTGGACAATAGTCCACTGCACAAATATACCACTCCTTTTTTTATCCATTCATCTACTGACAGACACATAGGCTTCTATATTTTGGCTATTAAGAATAATGTTGCCACAAGCACAACAGCATGTTATCCTCACAAGGCGCTGCTTTCATTTCCTGTGTGTACACACCTAGGAGAGAACTGTTGGATCATATGGTTTCTTTCATCTGATAATATGCTTTTACCATTCTTCCTTGTCTCTTCATGGCTCGGTACTTCGTTTCTTATTAGTCTTAAATTCTATTGTATCAATATGTCATAGTTTGTGTAGTCATTCACCTATTGAAGAGCACTTTGATCACTCTCAAATTTTGGAAATTATGAATAAAACTACTATAAATATCTGCATTGTAGATTTTGTTAAACTTAAGTCTCCGCAAATACCAAGAGGAGCAATATGGCTGGTCCTGCAGTAAGAGTATGGTTTTCTACAAACAGACAACAACAACAGCAGCCTGCTCAACTTCATTCCTGGTGGCTATAACGTTTACATTGCTACCAGCAATGAACATAGTTCCTCTCACTCCCATCCTCACTAGCATCTGATGTGGCACTGTTTTGGATCTGTGCCATTTAAATGTTTACAAAGGTATTCCATGGCTGTTTCTGTTGACATTTTATGTTTGTTTTAGCATAAATCTTTCATGCTAAGAGTTTTTCTCAACTGATTTGCAATACTTGGCTTGTTGACTAAGTGTAAGACACCAAAAGGATAAATGGAAGCTCCAGCTTACGGAGTAGTGGGCTTAACCATATGAGGATCAAAGAGGAAGAGGCATGTCCTTCTTGGAGGGCCCGCTATTGTTTGTAGCTGTAGGTATTTTATGGGGCAGGAGAAATTCTATACCAAGAACTCCTCCAATCCCTTGAGTAAGAGGGGAGCCTGTGCCAGCATTCTCAGAACTCCTAGTAAGTGAGACTCTTCTTCAGCTTGGAGACTTTCACTCAGGTTCTGTCTTCAGAAAGATGACACTGCCCTTAAAATATACCTATCAATTTAGAATCAAATCCAGACTTCTCTTGTTTTACTTCCTCCAGGCAATAAACTTGGAGGTTTTCATGGTGAGGAAATGTAGCAGAGTGTAGATGAAACTGGATGCTCACTGTGAAGGTCAAACATCAGCTCTTCTAGCTAACCATCTGGCTGTGCAGTCCTGAGTAAACCTACTTAATGTCTTAGTGCTTTACCTTCCTAATCACCAACATGTATACAACAAAATCTATCTCATACAGTTTTTGTGAGATTAGTTACTACATGTAAATCTCTTATGACACTCCTGAGCACATAGTAAATTTAAAAAATATTGGTCTTAAAGAGACTTGGGCTTCCTAGGAGTAAGAAAGTAAAGGGGACCTTCATTAAAGAATGAAGGACATGCAGGTTTTGATGATAAACCATAATTTTAGTGGGAGGGTTTTGGGACTTGGGGAATGATAGACGATGAAGTCAGAAAACAGATGACAACCATGTGGGACAGGCCTGGGAATGAAGGATAATGAGATTCCCGAGGTGATTGACATAACTGAGATAAATATTATAACATCATTAACACAAGTTCTGGAGGCACACAATGGTGATTAATGCAGTGAGCAGTAGGGCCAGGGGCCGAGAACACTGGTTTGGGTCAGAAGCATGCAGAATTCCAGAACTCTCATTCCCTCCTGCTGACAGTAACATGGAGACCAGGGGAGGGGAACTGTTCTCAGAGCATAAGACACATTTTCATAGAATGACAACAAGCCAAATGTTTCTGAGATTATATCACCTTGCAGCCCTTTGAGATTCTGTCCCAGTGAGCACTTGGGGCATTTACCAAGTATCTGTCATTTTATACATGTGATTTTGTTTCGTTGTCATAACAATCCTAGGAGGAAAGTATTATCAAGACCATTTGACAATAAGGTTGGGGGGCATAAGGTTCCTTAAGTGCCACTTCAGTTGCCAAGAAAAGTCCTGACAGACCTCAACCTTGTTTAAAATCTCAAGTAGGAGAATTTCATGTGAATATCCTCTACTCTTATAAACATGAAATTTTCTCTTCACCTTTTAACTCTAGACAAACAGTTGAAGAAATTATTTTGCAGACTTCAAAGAGTTCATTTTTTGACCAGTGAACACTTGAACACTATACTTCTTTATGACAGTCCAAATTGAGGGGGAAAATTAACTACATATTATTTTGCAGTCTCACACGAATGTATTGGAAAAAGCCTACCTCCACAGAGAATTATACAATAACTAGGGAATTCAATCAGTGAAGACAGGTGCATCAGTGTGTGTGAAGAATCATGAAGAGCTTAGTTCATGGGCCCAAGCAAGCTATGAAAACCACAGAAAATGAAAAAGAAAGAGAAGCACATGTTTTCAGTTTAATGTGCCTCAGAGTTAAAGAACTGTTAGAATTTTAAAGTTAAATGATCAGAAGGATAACATTATTTAGAAAATTCTATAGTTGAATACTCTCCCCAATAATTAAAACTGACCTCCATAAAGTTGACTAAAGTCTTAATCTTTTAATAGTTTATCAAGAGAATATATTACAATGTAAAAGGCACTATCTCAATTAATTAAAAATGCTTTTTTTCATGCAAAGAAGTGAAATTTCACAATTAAAATTCCTGGCAGGGTTTACAAATCCTTATAAAAGGTTCTATTTCTCCTGAATCTAGGATGCTGTTATAAACAACTTGCACTTTACATTGTTTCCTCACATTTTTTTTAGTCTGCACATTCACTCTGAGAGCAGAGGCAAGCATCTGTAAGCTGATGGCCAAAGCCATCTAGCCATTGGTAAAGTTTCAGCTATGAGCTATGGATCTTTAAAGTGACTGTGGAGGACCTCTTACAAAATCTGCTTATTAAAAGGACAAAATAGGTATTTTTAATACATTGCCAAGTTTCAAGAAAATAAACTAGAGCAGTGATCTTAGAACTATGTTCTCAAGAATCTTAAAATTACTTTTGGGCTTTTCACTTGTTTCAACCCAGAAAAATTCCATTTTAAAAATATATTTTTGGGGAATTAGAGAGATGGCTCATCATTTAAGAGCACTGGCTGCTCTTCCAGAGAACCTGGGTTCAGTTCCCAGCACCCACATGGCAGCTAACAACTGTCCATAACTTCAGGATTCAACACCTTCTGTCCTCCTTTTTAAAAAAAGAAAAAAAAAAAAATATATATATATGGTTGGTCATGGTGATGCATGCCTTCAAACCCAGCACTCAAGGGGCCAAGGCAGGTGAATTTCTAGGCCAGCCACAGCTTATATATATATTTGGGACATATGTTCTGCTTCTAAAAGTCTGAAAGCCATAAGACCAGACAAAGCCAAGTGAGCTCATCCATGTAGGGATGAAACTTGTGACTAGACATCAACACAGATCCAATCCACAGATGAGAGAGACCAGAGAGACTAAAAAAAAAAGCAGCTTCCATCCTCAGAACCAAAGGAAAACAAAACCAGCCACCATAACATTAATAACATATGTTCACTAGAAATCAGATTTTTTGCGGGGGAAGGGTGGTGTTGCTGGAATTGCAATCCAGGGCCTAGTCTGGCTTGCAAAACATATACTCTACCACTGAGTTACACCTGTAGCCTCGGACATTAGATTTGAGACATTCATTTCTGCATGTAGATACAAATTCAAGAGACTGGGTCAAATGAAACAATACAGTATTCTCACTCACCTGTCTGAATGCACATACTAAGCAGGAGATGAACTGAATAAGAAGCCAGGAAAGCAACTAAGAGCAGCAGGAAGCTAGAATATAAAAGAATATATGGTTATGTTTCCTCTAACTCTGCTCTTTTTTACAGTACCACATCACAAATTTCTTCACATTTACACAGTTGTAGGAACTATCTCTGACTATCAGAATTACAGTCATTAAAGAAATTAAGGAGGGGCTGGAGAGATAGCTCAGCGGTTAAGAGCACTAACTGCTCAAGAGGATCCAGCACCCACATGGCGGCTATGAACCGTCCTTAACTCCAGTTCCAGGGGAATCTGATGCCCTCTTCTGACCTCTGAGGCACTGCATGACACGGTGCACTCACATACATGCAGGCAATACACTCATACACATAAGATAAAAATAATAAATAAAATATCAAAAAGAAATTAAGAAGATAATTTCCTACTTTCTATATTTACCAAGTTTTATTCAAATGAAAACAGTGCTTTTAAATTAAAAAAAAAAAAAACCAAACTTTATTTAAAACAAATTTCCATCAGGCATGGTGGTGCATGCCTGTAGTCCTAGCACTTGGGAGGCAGAGGCAGGCGGATCTCTGTGAGTTCAAGGCCAGCCTGGTCTACATAGTGAGTTCCAGGCCAGCTGGGGCTACAGGGATACTGTCTCAAAAAAAGGCCAACAAAGAAAGTTGGTTCATCAGATGGGCTGAAGAGATGGCTCAGTGGTTAAGAGCACTGGCTGTTCTTGCAGGGAACTTGAGTTTGATTCCCAGCACCCACATGGTGGCTAACAACTGTCCATAACTCCAGTTCTAGGGGATCTGATGCCTC